CAGAGGTCTCTGCCAGCAGCAGGCCATGAGCACCCAATGGCGTGCTGCTGCAGATGGAGCTGTGTGCCATGAGGCGGGGCAGGCAGGGGACCCACCCATCCCACACGGTCTCCCCAGCCCCACACAGTTACCCCATATGCACAAACCCCGCACACTCCCACTGACAAACTACCCCCACAAACCCCCACATACCCCCCCACAATCTACCCACATCTCCCAAAAGCCCCACCAAACCTCATCCTCATAAACCCTACACCTACTCACATCCCCCTAATCCTCCCACAAACCTCATACACCCCCCCACACCCCACAAACCTCACACCCTGCATGCCCAGCTGCCAGATGGGATAGGACCTGCTGGTGGGAGCCACAGTTGTAGTGGCAACTTCCACGCTGAAGCCCTGCCCCATGCCCACACCAGTGCTGGGACATGCGCAAGGAACCACTTGTGGGGTATGATGGGCTGGAGGGAGTGGTGGATGAGGCAGCGGGGGAGTGTGAGTGTGAGTGTGAGATATAGATATAGATATATATGAGGGTCAGAGATGGGGAGCACTCCAGGTAGGAGAGGCCACCGGAATGAATGTTCAGGCCTGTGTGCTACGGTACAAATCTCCAGCAGAAAGTTGTTCCTCTGCTATCTGAGTTGCTGCAAGCACACACACTTACATGTGTGGATGCACCCCTAGATTCTAGTTGTTCCAGTTCCCTTGAACTCAGTCCATTCTCCTAATTTTCTCTATAGGGCATGGCACTTATAAAACTTCTCCTATCACAGAAGTTAGGGTGTCCGGTGTCCTAAAGCGCAGCTTTTAAAAAGGGAAGAAAAAGAGTCTTCCATCAGTTGGGAATATTACTTTAAAGAAAACAACTAAGGTATTACTTCAGATATGTGCAGTGATTCATTGTAGTGACCATTAATGGCTCTGGTTTACCCATTTATGTGCACTTATCTTGGATGAATGGATACTTTAGCTGGCAGTAATGCCCTTTCCAAGCCTCACTTGTATATTTTTAACGCATTATTGAATTTCAGCCAAAACTTAAAGAAGACTTTGCCTCTTTAAGAATATATAATTATTGTTGACAGCAAACCAGCTAGAAGAAGCACTTCTAGATTAATTAACAGTGACCCATAATTAAACACAGCAGTACTTAGAGATGGAATGGTCCCTAGATAGTATTGCTTTAGCTTTAATGAGTGTTTATCATTCTTGTTTGCTTCCGCTGTGGCAGTTATCAAAGTTAGTTACCAGTTTTTTAATTAAATAGAAATATGTATAAGGTACTGCCTTAACAGAAAACAGCTTGAAAAATTTATGATTTACAGATCATCTCAATATTCTGAGATCCTAGCAGTATAACTGTTAACTACAAATTAGCTATATTGCCTACCATTTTCCTTAAGCTAGTAACTTACATTAACAAGGATATTGTTAAAATGCTTCTCATGGCTGTGTATCAGAAAACCTCTGAAATTTCAGGAATCAAATTTTTGTTACTAATTATGTATTCTTCCACTAAGCATGAAGTGATTCTTGTTTAATGGTTAGGAGAGAAAGATGTGGAGCATGTCTATACATCGTAAGTGCTAAGAAACGCACCCTTGAAAGCACTCACTCCTACTGCATGTGTACAAGATGCTGAAACACATAGAGGTTTTATGGCACATGCTCAAGGCATGCCTAGAACCTCCCAAATGCTTCCCCCTTTGGATATGCTAATAAAAGCGGCTTCACAATATTTCTCCAACGTGTTAACAGGCACAGAATGGGAGCAAATGGGTGAGGCCTGTTTTCAAAGCAGTGATCCTTATAGGTAACAGAGTATAGAGTTGCCCCTGGTATCAAGACTTTTGGTTCTAGTCCCTGATGCCAACAACTCACAGCGGTACATGGAGGAAACTCTGGCCCACATTTCCATAAATGTCTTCTTATATAGAATGCTTACATTTGGACCCCAACACACAGATCCCTGAAGTTATTTAGAAAGTTCAACCCTATTAATATAAATAGAGGCCCTTGTCACGGCAGGGTCCTCCAGGAGGGCCGTGATCTCCTTAAGGCCCCCTCTCCGTGTCAAGTTGGCCCAAGGGCAGCCTCTGTTTCTCGCCCGCCACGCCTTTGATGTTTAGGTAAAGTTGGGAGGCTGCCTCACGTCTCCTTGGGCACGGTTAGTTGGGACCTCTGTCCCCGTGTTTTCCTGGACTCACCGGGGGTCTCCCTGTATGATGGGTGCTTCCCGGGCATCCTAGCCTTATGGGCTATACGTGGCTCCAACCACCCCTTATACCACACCCCAGAGCCTCGCAGTTGGACTGGACGTTGGACTGTCACTCTCGCTCTACATACACTGTCGCCCCCTCCTGGGGCTCTCCTCACCCTCTCTCAGGACCTTCTCTGCACCGTCGCCCTCTCTTGGGGCCTTCTCTGCGCCGTCACCCTCTCTCGGGGCCTCAACACGCCCGTACTGGGGCTTCTCTATAGTGCCCCCTCCTAGGGCTCGCCACGCCCACGCTAGGGCTTCATAAAAATGCTGCCCCCTCCCTGGGGCTCTCCGCACCCACACTTGGGCTTCTCAAGGTTGCCCCCTCCCTGGGGCTCTCCACGCCCACACTTGGGCTTCTCAAAAAGTGCCCCTCTCTAGGGCAGTGGTCTATACAGCCCGTATGCTGCGCCCTCCTGGGCACCGGGGTCCTCACACTCCTTTGTGAGGCCCCTTTAAGGATACTGCGCCCTCACTGGCGCCGGGGTTCCCACGCCACTGTGGGGCCCTACTGTGGGTCCCTACGAGGCCTCCTCCAACCCCTTATAGCCTCACCCAAACCACCAGTGTAATACACAACAACACAAACTCGAGCCTCCTGGCTATAACAACATTGCTCAACTCTGGTCAAGCTGTACTTGCCGTTAGGCTTCTCCTCACATCCTAACTCCAGAAGCTCCTGCCTCTCTGGCTGCTGGCAGGGAACTGCCAACCTGGCCTCAGCCCTGGGCTTTATAAGAGCCAGGCTCTGCCTCCTACAGGCAGCTGACCACTGGCAGGTGTGGGTCATTTGCTCCCTCCAGTTGCCCTGGCAACCCACAGGTGAGCTCCTATTCCCTGCTAGGGCTCTTTCTCTGGCAGTTTCTGCCCTCTAGGAGCAGGGCACCTCAGTGCTCTGCGACAGCCCTCAAAACACTTCAAAACTGATCTTTATGGGAGCTGTCATTGCCCAAAACATCAGAAAAATCCACCTAGCTTGCAGCACCCAAAAACTGAGGCACCCAGTTTTTTATGAATTGTATTAATTAAAAATTTTATTAATGACCCTTTAAGCCTCATGCATTATTTTATCCATCATTTTTAAAAATTGGTAAAAGTTAGCTGGGTCTTAGAAGTAGTTCACTAGGTTTGATCATAGGATGTAAAGCATCTCAATCCTGATTTTAGAGAAGTAAATATTAGTGTAAAGGGTAATAATGCTCATCTACTCCTCCTTCAGTAACACTCCAAATCACCTTTACTGCTTGTGCTGTGCTGTGCTATGCTGCACTGTTGGGCAAGGATTTCTTTATTTGTATTTAGAAGACTGTTGAAATAGTTTGGTCTAAAAAAATCATACATAAAGAATTACCATCACTTAGAAAATAGATAATAGGTAGAAAAAAGCCCAAATAAACAGTAAATTAGATTTTGGTCTCAGCTCTGTCTCTCTACTACTTGCTCCAAACATTTAGAAGAAGAAAATCCTGATTTTCTCTTGTCATTGTTTAAACAGAATACTGGAAAAAACAGAATAAAGACTAGGTTCAAACAAACACTGTTCTTAAAGCAACTTGCCCGTGCAGAGCATGTTATTGCCAGTGGATAGCCTCTTCCTGTACAGCACAGGCATAATGTGCAACTCTGAATAGGACAGAGCACTAAAAATGCCCACCTGGCAGCTCTCCCCAGTTTAATTAAAGTTTACAAAATGGTCTTGGAAATGATGAAGCAAACATAGCGCACAAGCATAACAAAGGGCCTATTAATTGTTATGTAATGGGACCATTTATGTAATTGTACAAGAAATGCTCGAAAAGTGTATTCACTCATTGCAGAATCTTGGCCTGGCTGAGAAAGAGCTTGCAATGCTATTTCTCTTCCCCTTTCTATTCACCCTTCCTACAACTTGCCCCCTCCCCCATTCCTAATTTGGAGCCAGCTTGTTCCAGCCCTGGTGGCTACGGTAATTTACTGCCAAGTCATGACATTTTATCACTGTAACAGAATAGCTCTATCATAAGAGCTCTCATAGAAATATTGCTAAAGCAATGGTTTTGGTGTGAGGAAGGATAAAGCTTCTAAGTTAAATTATGCTCAATGTCTCTAGATGGTCCATTCAGAAAAGCAATTTGTTGTTGTCTTCTTCAAAGAAAGTTCATCATTTGTTATAGCCAAATGTTTCAGAAATAATGTAATATAATCACCATCATTCCACAATGCCTCTCATGATGTGCAATAGCACTGTAATGTCCAACCAACCAAACATAAAGGTAACAAGCACTAGAAAAAGGATCCACGGTTTATCATGAAATAGCTGAAGTCTTCTGGGGCTGACAGATGCTGCTCCAGAAGGTTAATAAGATGAAGACAGCTCTTCCAGCCTGACTGTAAGAGGGATTATGTCTGAGCAGCAGATAAACAGATTATTCCAGAAACAGACACTGCTTTTTTTTTTCAAAAACTTCGTCACACTTGTCACAATTAGGAGTTTATCATTCCAGTCCCCCTTTCAGCCTCTTGGGCTACAAGTGTGTGTTTGAGGGGTTTGTTCAGTACTTGCATTCTGGCACCTGTTACCCTCCTCGCCTCACTGTGATTTGAAACAATTCAGATCCATGGGACACTTTTGAAAAGTGGGAATAGGAAGAGCTTTTGGAATTTTAGCTTCTTTATAAGAAATCTGTTAACCTACCTCAACTATCCCTACTCCCTGCGTTACTATTACTAAAAATTGTGAATGATCAATAGACAGCATGCATTTGAAAACTGGATTAATATTTTTGGTCATTTGCCTTGCTCTCCAAGTTCAAGGAAGCAAAGGTAAGTTCATATGTAAAAGGATTGTATTTATTTACTTTTTTTTTTTACTTTGTTACCTAAAACACAAAAAGAGCAGGCAGTTTTCCCTAAGCTGAGAATTCAGTGTCTAGATTAGGGTAATAAAAAGTGTGTGTCAGTAACACTTAACTACAGGCAAGGCTGAAGAAAGGTTGATGTAACTACTGTTGTGCAGGTTTGCCGAGCATTAAATCTTCGCAAAATATGTGCTTTGGTTGATTTTCTTATTCATGGTTTATGAGGACAGAAATAAAATTTCAAAAGCAATGACTTAGAAATGGCAAAATGGCTGAAGTGAACTCATAAGAAGCTGTATTGTTAAAGATAATCTGCTGTTATTGAACTGAAAAGAATACAAAAAAGTATACTTTTGACTTTACTGGCCATTGCCAAGAACAAATTAAAAAACTGGTAGGAATATACACAAATCCTGCATGTAAAAAGGCACTATCAAGTAAACAGAAAAGGGCAATGCAAATAAGGGCTAATGAACATGTAGAGCAGAACAAGCATAAAATGTAAAATTATAAAATACAATGAAAAAGAATGCATCTGCTAACATAAGTACTTATTGAAGCAAGTAAAAAAATATAATCATAATAATTAAATAGCACATGCTCATTTTTTGACATGTAAGAGAACTTTCAAATCTATTTCCATGGAGAGTTTCCTATAAAAATTAAAATGAAGCATTGATTTGTAAAATTTCTTAGCAAGAATAAAAGTAGAGAGACAGAAACGAGACAACTATTTTGTATTCAGTGCAACAACTAATGATTGTACCTTCAGACATATTGAAAAGTTCATAGCCTTTTTCTTTAATTATTCAACAACAAAAACATGAGTGATTTTCCTGTTTCATTTACATATAGAATTAAGTAGGGAGGAATGTGATTTTTCTATATATTTTGGTTGCTTGCTAACTTTTCTATCTATTCTTGACATTTATATAATCCAATTAAAATCCCACACCACAATTGCTTTGTGTTTTGCCTAAGTGATCTATGAATGACCTAATACTGTACATCCTACTTTCTGTCAAGCCTAGCCATGTTAGTTAAATGCAAAAGTTAAGTAATTTCAAAAACGGTATTTTCATTTATATTTCTATGTTTTTACAAAAACAGAGGAGACAGGCTGCTGTCAGTAATGTTTAAAAAGCTTACTATCTGCACACAGAATTTGTTCTTGCTTGTGTTTTTATAAAGCAGTTGTTTTTATCTCACTGCGCTATAGCTAAACAGCTAGAGAAAAATTAGTGCATTGAATTATTGAGGACATTTTTCCTTAGTAAAACATAATGAGTCAGCAAAGTGATAACACCAGTTGCATCTGATTTGTTTTCTGCTACTATATGCTTTTATCTTTTTGTTTCACATAATTTCACATAATTAGTTAATAACATTTGCAGGTGTAGCAGAGAGAGAGGACTGGTGAGAGTCAAGATATGTCTTCCACAAACACAGTAAGGAAAAAGAGATTTACCAATGCACGTTACCGTCACAATTGCATTTCACTGCAGTATAAGGTAGAACTTATTCTGAGTAATTGGTGCACTATTTATGGCATAAATGATATTTATAGTTGTAATTATAAATCCCAAAAGCAATAAAATAAAAAGGTAGGCTGAACATTCCTGATTATCTTCTCATGCCTAAATATTGCACCAGATCTATTAAAACAATTTGGATGGCATTTTACAAAGAGGAACTCAAGCTAAACATCAAGGACATTTGCCTAAAAGAGAGCTATTCTGGATTGTGAAAAACTTCTGCAAAAAGAAGCAGTGGCAAATTATTACTCAGAATATTTAATAATCCACAGAAAAAAAGGCTGGATAATAAACTTTTAGAGAACATCCTGCACCAAAAGGGGCTGGGTGCAGGATTGAATTGTGAAATAGTTGTATTTTTCATCTCTAATCTCTCTGAGCCTTTAAAATACAACAACAAACAACAATTATTATTGCAATACTTAATAACAAAGATTAGAGAGTTTAACTTGGAATTTCCAGGCTTGTTGCTGGTGTGTACAGCAGTAATTTGTTATACACATTCATTTTTAATGATAATTGGAAAATTTTCCATCCCTACAGCTTATGCTATGTCTGGTGCATACAGACATATTGGGGTTATCTGTATTTTCATGGAAATATATAGCATATTAAAACTTTTTGATAGTAAATACTACTTCCAAATGTACATGCACAACATTTAATAGGCTGTTGCTTACCAAACCTTATGCCTCTCTGAACCAATTAGTCTCTACCTTGCCCTGCCATACTCCTGACTTCAGACTTACATGGCTAAACTGCCTCCCTCTACTCAATGAAAATTGTATGTTCATATACACTCAGAAAGGCACTCAGACTTCCTGAGTGATTATGCTTTATTTAAGATACTATATTACATATCTTATTAGCACTAGGAGCCAATTTTGACAGTAATGTGTACCTAAAGAAGCACATGGCCTTCTCAAAGGCACTTAGTAGTTAAAGCACTTAACCAGTGGGAGCAATTCTTAAGGGAGGCTTGGGTTCTAAGCCCTTCTGAGGCTGAAAGGGTTCAAACCTATATTTCCCACTTGCCAGAAGAGTGTTCAAACCGCTAGCCTATAGAATAGGCAAGGTAGGAGTACCTGGCTCCCTCTTACATGTTCTCCCTCTTCCCATAAATCTTGCACTCTTGGTGGCTCAGTGGGCCAACTTCACCAGGAGGGGTTGAAAGCCCCATCTCTATCCAACTACTCTACTTCTAGTAGTTAAGGTGTTCCCCTGAAAAGCTTGCATGCTTGGATGCTCTCAGGTTGAGTTAGGCCTGTAAATCAAGTCTTCCATTTCCTGGATGATTACTCTAACCACCAAACATGAAGCAGTACCACTGTCAGCAGCATGACACCCATGTGATAGGTCACAAGACAACAGAGAAGTGCCTGATGTGTAGCCCTAAATCAGGCACCTAAGCTCCGAGAAGTCACGAGTTTGGACACACCTTTGTAGTGTTTGCTACAGGGAAGCACCCCTTCCTCCTAAACACCTGGGTGTTCCAGCTTACCCTTTGGATGCACCAAACTGTTCCCATTTCCACTACAGGCATCTGAAGTGCCCCACCTACTTAGATTGGGAGGGGAAAGGTGCGTACTTCTTAGGAATGCTGAAGCCTATATGCAGGACTCTGAAAGGCCAGTATGGATTTGTTCTGTAGACACCCATCTTCAATTGTATAAATATGCATACTGGGTGCTAAATATCTAAAGAGTAGATAATCTAGGTGTGCTTGAGATTTTTCTCATTCTTCTGGTCAACCTTGAGATATTGCAGGCCAATGTACAAATTAGCTTTTTAATTCCCTTTAATTTTTTTCACAACACCAATAGCCACTAAATTAATTCCTGAATTCATCAGTTGTTAACATTCCCTATGACAGAACTGCATTCAATTATTATTTTGTTTCTACCAATATTTAAAGGATGTCAGATAAAGGTGGTGGTGCCTCTTCGGAAACTTTCCTTTTCTCCCTCCCTACCTATTTTTAGTATGCAGTCAAACTAAATAGCCTCAATCAAAAAGTCACTAAAGAACAATGCAAGAAATTCCTTTGAAACTCCAAGGTACTTCCAGACCGAACATTTAGTATCAACAATGTTCTAGTCCTGGCCAGTCCTAGAATCCGAAGACAGAACAAAGGATTTGAATTAAGATGCTTTGAACTGTCCTGGCGCAAACCATTTTTAAAAAGAAAAATATATTTAAGCCAACACACTGTGCAGACAAAATGTAAAGATGGAGTGAATGATTGAACTATAAAGCACTGAAATTATCAGTTAACCACTGGTGGGTTTTAAAATATAGCAGCTAATCCTATAATTATGGATAGAAACTGCACTTCTGGCACTTTGTATTCTGCTTTCAGTCAAAAGAATGAGAAAGCCACGTAACAGCACTCAAGGTTGCTAAGTGTTAGTTTTTATTCAGCAGACAGATATTCTTTATTTACTCAGAGTCATTCTGTGGGAGACAAAGGCTCTATGTGCTCTGTGAAATCATTTTAATTAATTCTGACTTACTGCTTTCTATTCAGCTGTCCCAATTCAACAGTCAGTAACAGGTGCACATCTTTGTTACTATAACCATCCTTGAGAAAAGGGTTAAACAAATCTATGCTGGATGGAGGAGGGTACAGAAAACTTCAAAGAAAAAAGCCATAGAAATACCATTTTTGTTCTTCAGAAGTATTCCTCAGTTCATCCACGAAATAGAGATTCGCATTGTTGAACTAAGGATGATACACTCTCCTGTTTGTGTCTGTGTACAATTGAAATAAGAAATTAAATGCCACAAATGCCAAAATAAAACTGAATCGGTTGTGAGTGGTTTTTAACAGGATTTGTTTAATTCTGAAGATGAATATATGCAACAGAATATTTGTATTAACAGTTCTTATTAAGCAGCAATTCCAAATATGTTGTAGGTTTGCACACAGATACCATGGTGACTGATGCATCAGGAATGCCTAGATGAACAAACAAAACAGATAGCTTTTGAAAGGGAAAAGGGAAAATGTAAATAACATTGGAAAACAAGATAATTATAACCGATAAGGCGCTTTGTCCCCTGTCAAGATATATATTAATAATATATATATTAATTATATATATTAATAATCCACAATGAAATAACTTCAGTCCAAACTAGTCTCCACCTGCTAGACAACTATATTGTTGCTTATTCTATTATGCACAGCAGGACTTCTCATACTACCTTCATAACTCTGGGGCTCCTATACGTGCACAGGAAGGCTGCTGTGAGGCACTGTAATTCCAGTGCATCCAAGTAGACTCGATTAATTACCAGTAATTACCATGCTGGAGTGTGGTAATTACCATGCTCCATCAGATTCCAGCGACACGTGTATCAGCATCCCACACTGAAAAATGACAGTTGGGGCACTTTCAACTCAAGCTCATTCAACAAGCTTTAGTTC